ATATATATCACAATCACATATTGGAGTAGTGTGAGAGTAAGAGAATCAAAAAGCACAACAATGATAGGGGAATTATTATCCAAATATAGTCAACAAATTGAAAATTGTTTAGTTCCTAAAATAAGAGCCTCCGAAATTTTGCCTGCTGGGTTTCAGAAGTTAGTTGTAAAGACCAAACACAGGCCATGAGAATACCATCTACTAGGGTTTCAACTGAATGAGCTCTTCAACAACATCAGTTCCAGGAGTCACTATTTTAATTATGTGTTGCTGTGAAACAAACTGCCGGCAAACAGGTTAAATTAGCAACAACTGCGTAACGTCTCACTAGGCTTTAAGGTCACCAGCTTGAGCCAAGCGGTTCTTCTGCTCCACTGGTGCCAGCAGGGCTGCAGACACAGATAGTTAGCCAATCGTCTTCTCTTTTACCATCTTTTCCTCATCTCCTCTACCTTTCTTCCTTTTTTCCATCCTTCCTTCCTCCTTTCACTTTTATTTTTTTGTATAAGGAATCAACCTCAGAACCTTGCACTTGCCAGGCAAGCGCTTCTGTGGCTGAGCTATCTCCTGGAACTCTTTCCTTCCGTTTCTGTTTTCTATATCAAAATTTATCCTTGTTCCTAAATTTTATGCCTGGAAGAGGTAGAATTTACTTTACAGTATCCAATATAGAATGCTGACAACAGCAATTTCATTTTTTTGAAATAACTGTAGAAGTGAATTTTATATGTATTTACTAGTCAACTGTGAAACCATGATTTTTACCAAAAAGGTAATTTTCAAAGCTTGCTGCTCTTTATGGCATGGAGAGTTCAAGCAGCGCTGTGGGCCTCTCCCGTCCAACTACATCCCCTCGGCCTCCACAGTGCCCTGGCTACTTTTCCCACCCACCCACCCAGCATTTCTTCACTGTATAATTTATTGGGGCACATTGTCATGGCATGTGTTATTGTCTAATTATGTGATACATGTGGGGTGAAGAACAAAATTTCTTAGAAAGCAAGGACTAGCAATATCTGTTGGTTCTAGAACTAGCTGTGCAAGCCATTTAATATATACATATTGGGTTTTTTTTGGGGGGGGTTTAAAAAAATTTTTTTCCATGAACCAGGGATTGAACTCAGGCCCTTGCGCTTACCAGGGAAGCACTTATTCTACTGAGCCATCTCCCTGGCCCCTGGTTTTATTTTTAATTGAGGTGGAATTACCCAGACTATAGGACCTTTGACAAAGTTGTAGACTTTTTTCAGATCCACTTATCTATCAAAAATACCATGTGTGCCCTTCCATATTTTAAAAATCTTTTGATATATATTTAAGATGCTGTTTTATCAAATTTGCTCTGATTGCTACTAAATATGCCTTTAGATGAATTTATCCTGTTCTATTAAGGTTGTTATCCTAAAAGTATTTAATTCTTACTCATCATAGACATTTCACTGGGTAGGTTTGAAATAAATCAACATCTAATTGTTTTTTCTATAATTTTTTTTTCTCCAAAAAACAGAAAAGTTATCTGAAGGTAAACTAAGTCAAAGAGTTGTCTGATGTTATTTTACGTTATTGATGTCTTTTGTTTTAAAGAGACAAACAATACAGAATTTCAAAATGATAGGAAATTAACACTGCTTATTATATTGCATATTGTATCTTCAAAGTAGTTGCTCAGATTACCAGGCACAGGCATGTACACTGATTGCCCTCTCTTCTATAAAGCATCTCACAGGTGATGAAAGGACTGCACTTATAACTAGTGGTACAGCACGTGCCCAGGATGTGTGAGGCCTTTGGTCCAATCCCCCTGGGTCCTCAGGAAATAAAATAAATAAATAAATAAATAAATAAATAAATAAACTGATTAAATTTCTGAAAATATCTTCAGGACAATTGTGACTGAATACATTGATGTGTCACTGAGAATCTCAAGAGAACTTTTATGGAAAAATAAGAAAAAGGCTTATTGTGTCCCATTTTTATACTTAAAATATTATTTCCCATTGTTCAACTCTGTTCCATCTACCTACTTAGAATATATTAGAAA